TGTAACGTCCCAAAAATACAAGCCAAAAATTTCATTTTTAAAATGTGTACTTAGCAAAACATTTAGGAATAAATCATTCAACAATCATTTCATTTCACAAAAGATGTTGCACGTCGGAAAACATTGTCATAATCATAAAAGTGTCAGAGTACAATTTCCCAGGAAGATATCATAATGCGGAATACAAGTAGGTGTGTGATGTACCAGTACCGCGCCAGCTCCTTCCCCTTCTGAGAAGAGATACCTGAAACCAAAACTGAAAACCGTAAGCACGAAGCTTAGTGAGTTCCCCCAACCTGCCAGATACCATACAATCACATAACATGCATATATCGTCAGGCATATTTGGGTGCCCGACCTACCCCTTCGGTCCTCTCGACCGGATACTGTCTAGCATAATTGGGAGCTTGCCTCCCCTTCGGTCCTCTCGACCGGATACTAACTAGCATATCTGGGTGCTAGTCTCCCCTTCGGTCCTCTAGACCGGATAATGGGGACTATCTCACCCCTACTACTACCACATAACACACATATCTCATAATATATCTAGCATGGCTGTGCATGACCGCCCCTTCGGCCCTATCGACCGGTAATCTGGGGACTATCGCCCCTATGGTCACTAGCACATAGCAGCATATCATACTAGCACATAAACATATCACAGGTAGTAGCAACCTTAGATGAATATCACAGAGACAATCATCCATCATACAACTCCTACTGGTAGGCCGGCATTATGGCCGTAGACCCACCGCTACTGGAAGGTAACTCACCTCGTAGTAGCTGCTGATATGTGTCGAAATAGTCTGTCCGCTGCTGCTGCTCCGGAAATCCTCCGGCTGTAATTCCCACCAAACACTTAGTCAAATATTGCTAACCGCCCTCAGGGTAAATTGTCCATTTACCCTTATCAAGTCATGAGTCAAGTCATAGTCAACTGCCAGTTGACCAGACTCGCCGAGTTGGCTTGCCAACTCGCCGAGTCCCTTTCTCTATACCCAAGTCCAATAGTCCTTCATCCTACTCGCCGAGTTATATGAACAACTCGCCGATTTCACCTTCATACGAAGAACACTCTAAGCTGTGACTCACCGAGTTGTATGAACAACTCGTCGAGTTGTTCTTGAGACAAGAAGATTGCCATGAACTCGCCGAGTCATGGCACTGACTCGCCGAGTGACTTCATGAGTGAGTCTGGCTTCCAACCCACTAAGTCATACCCTATGACTCACTACTCCAACCCGCAAACACAAAAGGGAACAACCCTGGGACTCGCGACCCGACTCGCCGAGTCAGATGAACGACTCGCCGAGTCTGCCTCATGCAAAAACTATACACGCGATTTTGCTTGAATCCAGTTCATGCCATTCATAGATCTGGGTTCCTAGGGCCTGGTTTACACGTAAAGTTTCCAACTTTACGTGTAGATAATCACCAATGAAGGTTTTAGGGCTCAAAGTGCACCAAAAGGGGTAGATCTAGGACTTTCATGCAATATGACTCCATAAAGGCAGTAGATCCAAGCTCCAGGGACTAAATCATGCCTAGATCTAAAGGCTAACAACTTATTACAACCCATAAAGCACAAACAAGCTTGGAGAATGGCTTAAGAAGGACTTTCATGAAGCTATTAGGGACTACAAGCTTGAAAACAGAGGGGAAACTAGATATACCTCAAGGAAAACGTTGAGATGTCACAAAAATGCTTGGCCTCCTTCTCCTCTTCTTGATCTACTCTTCTTTCTCCTCAAAAACTTCAAGAACACACCCAAAACACTTCAATCTCACAAGGAAAAGGGCAAAAATGATGTTGGGAGCTCTGAGGGTGAATAGGGGCGAGCTTGGGGCGGAACTGAGGGTTTAAATAGGGTGCAAACCCTTGAAATTTAGAGTTTCATCAAACAGCGGTGACTCGTCGAGTCCAGAATATGGACTCGCCGAGTCGCCAACTTAAATGTGCCCCCGGACCGCGTCCCTACTCGGCGAGTCGGACCTACAACCTTCCGAGTCCAAGGCTAAAAATGTCAAATACTTAGATAAATTTTACGTACCAGGAACCAGGTGCTACAAAATCTTTCCAAAAACCTTCACAAAAGATATCTAGGAAGAAATGAGACAAGGTAACAACTAAACGCCTTCAAAAAGAGTGCCCACTGAAGTAGATCTCTAATTCCCCATGAGTTGTTTGCTTTTAATCATTTGTTTTCCCCAAGCTTTTCTCACCAAAATCCTTCTTTAAAGCTTAACACTAGGGAGGCCAGTGATCCTTTAAATAGGGTGCGAAACCCCATAAATTAAGGTATCATCCTCCAGCTCCTACTCGTGAGTCCCTCCTTGGACTCTGCAAGTAGGTTACTTAAACACATGGACCAACCCGTTGCTACTCGACGAGTCGAGCAACCAACTCGTCGAGTAGACCATGAAATCAAAAAGATCTTCTAACAAAAGAAATCAATACCTGGGAATCGGCACGTTACAAAATTAGGAAACATAGAGGCCAAACTTCAATCACCAGTCCACTTATCGAGCCAAAAAAGGGTATTACGCCCCGATCTGATTTTAGTAGAGACAAAATGTTAAAATTCGAGGCCTAGATCTCCTAAAAAACTCAATAAAGTCATCATATTATTCTAAACTCCAGGGATAGATCACTTGGACACATTATAAATAGGTTTGTGTGAAAGGTTATGAATCCCACATATAGCTTGCTACCATAGATAAGATTTCTTCGATTTTAACCTCCATATCCATTTGCAAAGTAAAGCAATATCGAGGCTCTTAAGAGAGCCAACACCTAGACCACCCAATTCTTTATCTGCAAGAACATGCTTCTAGGCAACCCAACTATTTTATTTTTCTCATCCGTCCCCCGAAGGAATCTTCTATGAATCTTCTCCAACAACTCAATAATGGAATTAGGGGCCTTAAAGATTGAAAAACAAAACAGAGGCATGCTGCCAAGAACCGACTTAACCAAAGTCAATTTGCCTCCGAAAGAGAGGGTCTTAGATTTCCAAATCGAAAGCTTACCTTGCACCTTATCAATAACGGGTTTCCAATTTCTCTTGAGGTTCATGTTATCCCTAACGGGAACCCTGAGATAAATAAATGGGAGGTTCGCAGCCTCACATCCCATAATATTTGTGCAACTTTAAACATCATTATTAGCGATCCCAATTCCATAAACCTTTGACTTATGAAAGTTAACTTTTAAACCTGACACCACATGAAAACATTTAAGGATTCGAGAAAGGTTCATGAAGTTTGAAATGGACCAATCACCAACAAATAAGACATCATTCATGTAAAACAAATTAGTGATAAAAGGGTCATTGTTTGGAAGAGGAATACCCAAGTATAAGGAATTTTGAATTGCCGATCTCAAAGCCACATTAAGACCTTCCATAACAATGATGAAGAGAAAAGGTGTGACTGGATCACTTTAAGAAGACCAAGAGTGTATAATAACCTCTATAGTACGAATACCGTGCTTTTTTTTCACAAAGTATAACGTACCTGTACTAAATTAACTTATAGTTAATTTTATTTGCATATATATATATATATATATATATATATATATATATATATATATATATATATATATATATATATATATATATATATATATATATATATATATATATATATATATATATATATATATGAGACGTTTCACTTGAGATTAAAAAAATAGAGATCTTGAGATTCAACCTCAGCCACATATTTTTTATTTGCTGCTCAAACGTTCAAACTTTCCAGCCACATCGGGATATGTCTAATCATAAATGATTATATGACAGAGAGGTATAATCATATATGATTATATATATTTATACGTATATATCTAATCATAAATGATTATACATATATGTATGTTCACAGATTGAGTAATCATATATGATTATAATAATTGGTGGCAGAAGAAGTAGTGGTGACAGAGGTGACGGTGATATAAGTGACGGAAGTGATGGTGGGGTCGGCTGTTGTCAGAGGTGGTGGCGATGGCGGTTGTGGTGGTGGGGATGGTTGCGGAGGAGATATGAATCGGCGGTGCAATATAATCATTTATGATTATAATAGGTTTGTCGTGCCGGTACGCCAGATGGCTAGAGCGGTAGATGTGAAATATATGGCTGAGGTTGAATCTCAATATTTCTATTTTATTTTTAATCTCAACGGAACTTCTCTCTCTCTGTGTGTGTATATATATATATATATATATATATATATATATATATATATATATATATATATATATATATATATGGGAAAAATGAATATACCATCAAGGGTATATATTATATAAGCTTAAGTACTCAAGTTCATCATACTATGTGGTTTTGTATCATAGATATACATTATAATTGTCTAATATACTTATAATTTAACTTCTAACTTCATTTACTTCTAAGACTTTTATAAATTTCATATTTATCTTCCGCTTATATAATGTTCATATCTAATTATAATATAGAGCCTAGTAGGTGTTCGCCAAAAAAAAGTGATGTAAGAGGAAAACAATAATAAAATTTCGAAAAAACAACTCATAACTATTTTTTTTTGTTTTAAAGTAGGTCCAAATATATTTGAGGTTTGGGGAAAAAATAAGTAGGAACTCCCTCGAAAAAATAGATTATTAGATTGTAAAAGTTAGCTAAAAAAAGTTAAATGTAATCTTATATAAAAAAATGAGGTTATTTTTTAACTGTTTTAAGAGAGAAATAAAATTTGGATTGAGATTTGAGCATGATATTGCCATGACCAAGCCACATGGACGATTCCCTTAATTCACTAATTTTTAAATTGCTAAAATTTCATAACTTGGGTTATCTTGATTTTCTTTTACTTTCCAAATCAATGCCAAATTAAAATGAACACCATGCACGAGAATACATGCCCTATAAATACCATAAACTTTCAGGGAATCTTCTTTGATCAAAACAAGAGGCTTAATTGCACCGACTACCGTTATCCTCCAAGCAAACACTAAACCCACCATGGAGCCAGTCCGTCCTTTGACTGACTTCCCTCCTTCCTTGTGGGGTGATCGCTTCTTATCATTCTCTCTTGACAATTCAGTAAGATGTTCCTTTGATTAATATATCGTAACTCAAAACGTGCACACAATACTCACCATAAATTCATGATATTTTAGCATCTAATTGTTAAGTAATACATTGTTTCCTTTTCTAGCAATTGGAAGAACTTGCTAAAGCTATGGAGGAGCCTAAAGAACAACTGAGAAGATTGATAATAGACCAAACTATTGATTCAAACAAGAAACTGAGTTTGATTTATTACGTGTATCGTCTTGGCTTGAGTTATCATTTCATGGAAGACATCGATGGCCAACTTGATAAACTTTTCAAAGAGCTGAACTTGCAAGATTACCATGAAGCAGATCTTTATACAATTTCTCTTCTCTTTCATGTTTTCAGAAGCCATGGTTACAAACTACCTTCTGGTATATATAGAAATTGCTGAAACAATATTTTAAACGACGTTTCATTCTATTATTCTGTTAAAACAATTGAATATGACACAAATAGGTGATTGTGAATGCAGATGTGTTTAAAAAATTTAAGGATTGTAGTTCGGGTGCATTCAAAGAGGACATGATTACTGATGTGAAGGCTACGCTAAATTTTTATGAGTGTACGCAGTTGAGAATAAGAGGAGAATCTATTTTAGATGAGGCATTTGTTTTCACAGAAGCTCAACTTAAGAGTGTTGAAAATACACTCGAAGGTAATCTTGCACAGCAAGTGAAACACGCATTGAAGACACCCTTTCATCGTGGGCATACAATGGTAGAGGCAAAGCTATTTTTTCTCAATTATCAGGAAGAATGCTCCACGTAAGACTCACTGCTAAACCTTGCTAAGGTGCACATCGAGTATTTACAACTCTTACACAAGGAAGAACTTCGAATCATCTCACAGTAAGTAATAGTTAAAAAAAGAACTTTAGTTGCAAAAAATGACGCACTAGTAAAGGCAAACGTGTATTTTAATTCTTGAATATCTTTGCATAAAGATGTAACGCAATCCTTCTATGAAAATATCGATGCTCAATCATTGATAAAAGAGATAGTTCGGACACCTTATCAAGCCCTTAATTAATACATTTCGAAGGGTATATATATACTATAACATTGTAAAACCTAACAAATTTATAATTTTCATTTCATATAGGTGGTGGAAGGATATGAACTTCGACGTGATAGCTCCATACGCAAGAAACAGAGTAACTGAGCTCTATGTCTGGGTATTGGCATTATTCTTGGAGCCTTATTATTCTCATGCTCGAATCATATCATCAAAAGTCATAGTGTTCTTGTCATTGTTAGACGACACATATGATGCCTATGCTACTATTGAGGAGATGCGACTTATAACCGATGCAATAAATAGGTATTAATTGGTTCTTTATTACTATGTTGATTATTATACTAGTGCTCAGTTTTTGAGGTTTTTGTATGACCCAAGATGCTAAATCCTAAAGCCTTATATATGTTGGTTATCATCCTTTCACTTCAATACGTTGTCTTATGATGAATAACTATCATTACTATTAATAAACGTCTAACTAGGTGGGAAATCAGTGCTATGGGGCAACTTCCAGAATTTTTTAAACCATTCTATGAAATTATATTGAAGGAGTATGATGGATTTAAGAAACAAGTACCTCAAGAAGGAAGAGTGAATCTTGTTGAAGCTTCAAAACATGCGGTATGATTCCATTTTACCTTGTACATTCTACTTGATTAATACATAAGATATTGTTACTTACTTCTTTCCATTTATGCCTTTTAATATCTTTAAATATTAGCTTCAAGAACAAGTTAGATCTTACCACCAAGAAGCTGAATGGAGACATATTGGATATGTGCCATCATTCGAAGAGTATATGAAGAATGGCTTAATAAGTTCTAGCTACAACCTTCTTTCAAAAACCGCTTTGATTGGTATGGGTAAGATTGTTACTGAACAGGGATTTGCTTGGTACGAAAGTCATCCAAAGATCTTGACAGCTTCAGAAACTATTTCAAGACTTCATGATGATGCTAAAACTTTCGAGGTACTTAACAACCTTATTATATGGAAATAAAAATTTCTAAGGTATTTTCTAGAAACAAAATAGGGAGCCTTTGAAATGGTGTACCAAAAAGGTTATAACTTCTAAGCCATTTACAACAATATATAAATGAATTATATGTAGTTATATTTAATCACTATATATGGAATTTGTCTTTGGATTTTGTCCTCGTTTTTCTTGTACATTAATATTCATGGACGAGTTTCATTTAATTATGTGGATTACGGAAACAATGGTGATCGATAGTTTTGTAAACAGTTTAGTATATAATTAATCTTAAATTTATGTTAAACTACAACATAAGATTTACATCAGAATTAATTATAATTGACGATAATAAACTTTGGATATATGAAGTACGAGCGTGAAAGAGGAATGACAGCCACAGGAGTAGATGCGTATATGAAGACCTTTGGGGTGTCGGAAAATGTAGCTGTCAACGAGATCATGAAAAAGGTGGAAAATGCATGGGACGATATTAACGAGGGATGTTTAAAGCCAAGAGAAGTCCCGATGGATCTAATTAGTCCAATTGTTAATCTTGCAAGAATGATAGATATCACATATAGATACGATGATCAGTACACGTTTCCAGAAAATACCTTTAAAGAGTATATTACACTCTTGTTCCTTGATTGATTTTGGGGATTTGACGCTTTTACCCCTAACAATTGTTTTCTGGTGTTTGACGGTTCTGCCACTGGGGACGTCGTTTCAAGTTGTTTGCGGTTTCTGCAGTGTTCGGTGGTATTTCGCCTCTTTTGTGTGCCTTGTTTTGCTTGTGTGCTGCTGTTTTGTTTTCTGGAATTCTGTTGTCGTTGTGTTGCTTGGCTGGTGATCTTTTCTGCTTGCTGCATGTAGTTCATGTTTCTTCTTATTGTTGCATGTTTAGTTGGTTGGTTTTGGAGTTGGCTAATTTGTGTTGCTTTGAGCTTGTGTTGTATTTTATATGGTGTTGTGTTGTTTGTATGCTCCTCCAGCCTCCCGCTCGTATTTTTAATCTAATGTTTTACTTATTCAAAAAAAAAAAAAAAAGTTAGCGATTTTCTTTCCTTAGTTATCTTTTTAAAATAATGAATAATGATGTTGCCATAAGGGTCGGAAGAACTCCATGTCATCTCATCTCACTACACTACAAGAATAATGCCCTTTAGTGGCGACGCCTTCGGCAATGACATCTAACTTTTGCGTTAGATGTCACCACTAATTAAAGGCATCATCACTAAAGGTCATTGACCCTCATCTGCGTCAAAATCTCGCTTTACTTCCTATCCGTCGTCGATCCGGTCCCTAATCCAACGTCTAGAATCCATTGTCGTACACACTTTTAGCGGCGACATATGTCGCCGGTAGTACTCGAAAAAATTACCTGCGAGACGTTCACTCCAAACGGCAGCCACTAAACCCTAGAGATGCCTTTTGCTCTCGAGATAATCTGACCACTGCCACTAGCGATTAGGACACAACAAACATTTTCTTTTTATCAGTGACAACAACCTACATCACCGATGACACAAGTTGCATCAACACCGACAACGAAAAACTCCATCATCGGCGACCCCTACAGTCGACGACAACCACATGTCTTTCTCATTCCCTCTTTTCTTTTTCTCTTCTCCCTGGTGACCATTTAGTGGAGTTTGAATGTTTGATTTCGTGATTTTAGCAATGTTGACCTCTTTGCTCTTGTTGTCACCATCGCTGTAGCACCTGATTCTTGGTACGTATTATTTTATTAATATTTTTGCATTTTTGGCCTTGGACTCGGCGAGTTGAAGGATCAACTCGCCGAGTAGAAGCGGGATGAGATGCAGGGTTTAAGCTGTAAACTCGACGAGTCGGTTCTCGGACTCGGCGAGTAGGCCCTGTCTGGACAAAAATCCTAACCCGAGGGTTTGCACCCTATTTAAACACCTTAACATGGCCTCCTTCGTCCTATTTGCTCCCAGAAGACCCCCATAGCAAACCCTAGACGTTATTGAAGCCATCTAAGGCATTTGGAGTGATTTTGGTGCTTTTGTGAACTAAGGAAGGAAGGAAAAGCTTGAAGGATCAAGAGGAGGCTAGAAGGATCCGATTTTGAGCATCATTTGCAGTCTACAGAAGGTATAAAGTCTATACCTTGTTTGTTCTTTTGATAGATCCCATTTTGTGGAGTTTTAGGGCTTTTCTAAGCCATTTTGGTCACCAACCATGATTGCAAGTATGGTTAGGGGTTGATGTTTCAGATCTAGGCCCTTAGAGGGGTTACAAGCCAGAAAGGAGTGGCTCTTGCACTCAAAGAAGGCCCCATGCATTGTAAGAGATTGTTTTAAGACCTTTTGAGCTCAAAGTCCCATGCAAGCACGTAAAGGTTGTAACTTTACATGCTAGATCGATTGTAGAAGCATAGATCTATCTTTTGATCAAGGGTTGTACATTAGAAATCGAAGATTTAGTTAGAGGATGTGACCAACTCGACGAGTCCATTCTTGGACTCGGCGAGTCCAAGGTTTCTGTCCCATATCAGTTGAGGGTCATAAGGTCCCAGTTGAGTGTGGAAAGGTTTTAGAGGGGTCACAGGGAGTGACCCAACGTTCTGGACTAAGTCATTGTTCTGGAAGTTCATGGGACTCGACGAGTCCAAGGCAAACTTCTTAAGGATGAAGATGAACTCGACGAGTTGTTCATACAACTCGGCGAGTCAAGGACAGGACCTGTGTATCAGTTGAAGATGAACTCGACGAGTTGTTCATACAACTTGGCGAGTCGGATGAGGATTCAGTCGATGTTCATTTAGAAGGAAAACTCGTCGAGTCATCGCCTAACTCGACGAGTAGAGACGAGTATAAGGACAAATGGAAGGATAGGGACTCGGCGAGTTGGCGAGCCAACTCGACGAGTCAGGTCAACTAGAAGTTGACTTTGACTTTGATTTGGTCAGGAGTAAAATGGTCATTTTACCCAAGGAACAGTTAGTAGTGTATGACTAAGTGTTTTGTGGGAATTATAGCCGAAGGATTTCCGGAGCAGCAGCAACAGCAACAGTCAGAGGATTCCCGCACAGATCAGCAACTACTACGAGGTGAGTTACCTTCCAGTAGCGGTGGGTTTACGGCCACAATGTCGACCCACCGGTAGGAGTTGTATGATTAGATGATTGTCTTTGTGATATCATCTAGGTTTGCTACTACCTGATATGTTATATGCTGGCATGATATGTTATATGTGATAGTAGTAGAGTTCGGTTGTTAGGACCGAAGGGTAGGTCAGACACCCAAGATATGTCTGATAATATGTGCTGATATGTTTATATGCTGGCATGATATGTTATATGTGATAGCGGTAGTAGGAGGGGAATAGTCCCTAAGTTTGGTTGTTAGGACCGAAGAGTAGTTCGGACATCCCAGATATGTCTGATAGTATGCTTATGTTATGATATGTGAGATAGTAGCAGTAAGGGGTGGAATAGTCCCTGAGGGTCGGTTGTTAGGACCAACGGGTAGGTCAGCACCCCATAATGGCTTGACATGGGTAGGACAACACCCCAGAATGGCCGCATGGGTAGGTCGGCACCCCAGAATGGCCGTACCGGGTTGGTCGGGCACCCCATAATTACCCGACAGTATGTATGCTATGTGATCGTATGGAATGTGGTACGAGGGGGGAACTCACTAAGCTTCGTGCTTACAGTTTATAGTTTGGTTTCAGGTACCTCTTCAGCGAAGGGGAAGGAGCTGGCGCGGTAGCGGCACATCATACACACACTCTTTGTTTTCCGCATTATGAGTTATTCTGGGAGTTGTACTCTGACATTATTATGTGTTTATGATTCGGTTTTCAGATATGAGACATGTTTTTATTAAATGATATGATGGGTTGATATTTTGATACAAATATTGTGTAAATCACTTAATCAAAAATGAAATTTTTGGTTGTGAAAATTGGGTCGTTACAAGTTGGTATCAGAGCCCTGGTTTAAGGGATTCGTACACACCTTCGGGGGTGTCTGGACTCAACCCAAGGGATTAAAAGATTTTTACAAGGAAAATGATTTTCTAAAAGCTAATATAAAAGAGTTTTGAGAAGTAACAAGTGTGTGGTGTGCGCAACCAGCCGAGCTCAAGTAAGTATTCCCCATAGTACCCATACAAGTTATATTATGTTTATCAGTTTCAGTAGAATAGCATGCTAGAATAGGACTAAGGATCTAGGAATGATGCTTTATGTGCTTCAGCTTATGAGGATTCCATGCTAGTATTGAGTAGACAGTAGTAGGATAGCCTGTTTAGGTTATGCCTGGTAGTATGAGCTCAGCATTATATGTTAGTTCAGCTCCTCATTATGAGGACATATTTGCTTGAGTAGTTTTCCTACGTCCGAATGCCTCTTGCTTTGTGCTTTGCGGGACTCTGAGTGATGGGAGTTAGCCATTAGGTGAATACGTCACGTCACATGTGATCAGGGTTGAATAATCTCAGAGTGCTGGATTTGGCCCTATTGCGCAACTCTCGTCTGAGTATAACCATTGTAGGGACGAGTCTGTTACTTGAAGGATTATCTGACACTACAAATAAAATAACATTTAGTGGCACATAAAAAGTGCCACTAAAAACTGAAAAAGTGCCACTAAAAGCCCCCTGAAGAATCAGCGGTACAAAAAAGTGCCACTAAAAGCGTTGCCACTAAAAGCCTTTAGTGTCACTTTTTGGTTGTGTCGTTGCAGCTCATTATGTTTTAGTGACACTTTTCTACTATGCCACTATAGCACTTGTATGTTTTAGTGACACTATTTTTATGCCACTAATTGTGAAAATAAATATTATTTTCATGCTTTTAGTGGTATCTTTTTTTAAAACAAAATAATTATACTAATAAATTAGGTTTGATTTTTTTTAATTTTTAAATACAATATAAGATAATAATAAGACAATTAAGATAATAAATGATAAACACAATATTATTATTTCTTCATATTTATCTTACAATAATATTCTCAATATTTAATACACAATAGGGCTTCAGTAGTTTAATATCTTTCAACTTGAAGAAAATGTAACGGTGGAAGAGTTATAAGAAGAGGAGGTGGAAGAGTTGAAAAGAGACGATGTCTAGTTCCATAATTACCTAAGAAAGGGAAGACATTTTCACATTGACTTGAATGTTGAAGATCATCTCCCAAAGAACGAGGAAAAATATTTTCATAAGAACGAGGAAGACCTTTTTCATCTTGATTAGACATCTAAAAATTAGGAGAAGAAAGAATTCAAGTTAGTTGATTTTAATCCCAATTATTAACCTAAATTTAAATTAAGGCTAGGATCCATATTTCCATTTCGTAATATGAAAAAGAAGACCTTTTTCATCGTGACTAGACATCTAAAAATTTAGGAGAAGAGAGAATTTAAGTTAGTTGATTTTAATCCTAATTATTAGCCTAAATTTAAATTAAGGCTAGGATCTGTATTTCCATTTTGTAATATGAAGATGGGTGTCGAAGTCATATCATAAAACAATTTTAGGTAGGTAAAGCATTTCACCAATTTCAATCACATGAAACTCCTAGATCTTTTGATATTTTCATTGAAACATCCATGTCATGTTTAATCTCGGAGTATGCTCTTATCAATTGTGAATGGGATGTTGAGGATCACAATTACGATGTGAATAACCATGCAAACTTGCTCAAACACCCTCAATCGATTTATAATCTCCCATTGATGTGTCGGTTAACCACATACGTTTCATCAATAATTATTAATACAAGTTGTTTCATCATTTCAACTTTATAGTCCCACATTAGTGTGGCGGTTAAATATACACGCTCCAATAATGACTCATAAAGAAATGATATCTGTTTTCATGGATTAGCATACATTTCACATTTTTTCTAAAGTAACTACAATGAGATTTTAAAAGAATATTCTAGTACTTTAAAAAATGAAATTTTAAACTTTTATGTCCTATCAAACCCGTTCGGCTAACGATCCTCCACCGCACAATGGAGCGTTGGGTGAAAAGGACACCCATTCAACAATTTTATAGGTCATTTTCTTATACCCCTTTTATAGCATGGCTTCGTGAATGGGGCATACTATTGATTCGCCTGACTTTTATAATACATATAGTAGTTAAACGTTTTACGTATGTATATGGTGTATTTTGAACTTTTTTAAAACACAATGTTGAAAAAATTAATTATATGAATTAATCATATAATTAATTAATCAGTTTAAACCTGGATTTTATAGTTATCCTTTAATTAATCTAATAGTTAAATTTATTATTAAATCCATAAGGATAATTCAGCTTAATTAATCTTATAAATAAAATTTATATATTCCATGATTATCTCCTACTATTTAAGGTTTTATGTTTTAATCATATAAGGTATTCAAAATTCGGATTTTAGCATAATTAAAACTCGATAATCACTAAAAATATCCCTACTAATCAGATTAGGCAAATCGAAGGACAAAAATTGAAAAAACCAAAAGGCACGCTGTGTATTTCAAGAAAAAAAAGTTGTTCGATTCAAGTCATATACAATCAATGTTAGACTCACCAATGATCTGATACCACTGATGGATTTTATACGTTATAAAATACATGTACATGAGGAAAAATCAATTGACATTTAAAGGGTACATGCAACCTTTAAGGATCTATGTCATAACACTTTGAAGGTAACATACAATGAATAACAAAATCTACAAGAACCCTAATATAATCTAAAATATCAAGTTAGGCTTATATACCTTTGTGTTGTTGTAGTGAACAACACTATTGGATCTTTCTTGATCTTGGAAAGCTAGCACCAAAAGTATGTTGCCTCTAATAGCTCACACCCAAAACCCTATAAACCCTAGAATAAAGAGGAAAGAGAGGAAGGAGACGAAATTTTCGTTCATAAAGCCTCTTAGAAGGGTTATGCATAAATTTTGGGTCCCAAGGGGTCCTATTTATAATTTAAGTAACTTGCAGACAAAACAAGATTTGAATTGATTAAATAATAGATTTAATCCCAATTCAAATCATTTCTTATATGTAACTAGGAGGCTTCCAGAAACCTTGAGAATCCCTCCAAAACCGTCCATGCCTTGGATGGTTCTAGAGTGATTTCTTTTGTTCAACTATTGAATAATTACAATTCATCCATTGCACCTTTAATTAATTCCAATTAATCTAAAATTAATTCTAGATTAATTCTGATTAATAATTAATTAACTCTTATTTATTTCATATTAATTTATTAATCATATAAAATAACAAATCAATTATGTAACTATTGATATTAATTTATTAATCACATAATAAATTAACAAAACATTTATACATTTCTAATCAACATATTAATCATATAACATATTAACAAACTATAATAAATTATCATTCTCTCTCATAATATCATTTCTATCTATTTTCTAGTTATGGGGCAACCCGAAAAGGACTTTTTTTTAATTATAAGAATATATTAATTTAATTATGAGCTTAGACACATTAATCTAACATCAACAACATAAGACTCATCCATGTTTCTTGTTTCAAACTTTATCACACTACATGATAAAGCTTATCAATATGTACATCATTCAATGTTATTCGTTACTGCTCAAACATGTTAGTTTTGCATTACTAAATATGTTTTCATACCTTTGCTATATTTGTAGCTTATTCAACTTGTCTCTGATGTCATGAAATACTTAGTAGTGGCTCTATCCTTTTCCCTTAAGTTATATAATGACCGGTCATTACATCATATAAATATAGATATCATCTAACATACTGAAAATAGGCTTGTTCATAGCATCTATTATAACACTATTAAAGCTTTCTGAATAGCCATTCTCCACAGATTCACAAGAAGTATGGTGAACTTTGAAAAAATCCAAAGACCATTTCTTAGTATCCCTCTCCATAAGATGAATAAATGCAACATGGTTTATTTGTTGAATCTCCGTCATGATTGTATTGAAATGTTCTTAAGTTGTTGCCTTACTAGCCTTTTAGAAAATATTTTCAAACTGAGCTCACTAAATTTCTTTCTAAACTTGTCATATATATATGCCTTGCACACTGCCTGTGTTCTGTTACTGGTAATACTTTCTTAACCGTCTCAACCAAATCCTACATATGTAACAAGATGCGATGAAGTTAGAAAAGCATAGCTTGTATTGTAATATAACTATAAAATGAACCATACCTTGTGTTGATCAGGCATTATAACTAGCCTGGATCCTTGATTTGAAAACCCTAAATCTTATGTCAGATTTTCTATAAACCATTTCTAAATTTCTTTGTTTTCTACACATACAACTATCTAAGTAAATGAGAATACTCCATTGTTAGCATCCTTACCCAAATACAAAGTAACTCACATTAGAAAAAAAATCAGGAAACAACCATCCAAGTTAATGATCCTTCTACCCCTTGAACTCTACGCCTCTTTCACTACAGCAAAACATTAAATATTGATGAAATAATTCTTATTATCAGGCATTACATCAACAAAAAGCTTTTTACAGTTGATCCTAGGTTTGATCTTCCTATCTCCTCAACATATGGCGATAACTTGAAATAATTCTCTATATTGATCATTCAACTAGATTCAAAGCATACTTTTTGGCTCTCCTACATTGACTAATACTAACTTTAATGCTAAATATGTTTTCACATCCTCTCAAAGCAGTCTACCAATCATCTTTTTATTGTTTACAAATTCTTGAGTGAAATGACTACTTATCCATCTATAACTGACAACTAACCCTTACTTGAAATTCCTTGCATAATTATGCTTACTTATAAAAGACTTGATCTAGAAAGGTTGATCACTACTTATCCATAAACCCTAAACCCTAAAGCTATAGTTTCCATCGCAACATTTCACTAATAGCTTTCTACTGTCATTTTTCATAAAACATAATTTATAACCATTTGCAACTACATATTTATAGGGCATGTGTTTGAGTAGTTTAGGATTCTCAAATCTCATTCCTAACATGTGTTGATGATTCTTCTAGTGTACACCTTCATTGAAAATACTTGGCAAATCAACATGAGCATCAACAATTTCATTCTTACCCATGTCCTCATCAACATGCTTAACTTGACCTACATTCTCACACATATCAAAATCTAGGCCATTGTCATTTTTGAAAAAAAAAGAGTTGCTATTATCATCCCCACGCCATGTCACACCTATTTCAACATCAACATGTTTATCATCAAACACTTCTTCCTGTATATTATCAAGTACTTCATCTGATTCTTCATCCAACCACTCATGTATGTTAGTATTATGAAAATGGTTTACATACATTGGGATTTCACAACCACATTCATATACAATGGCTATAAAGTCATCATAATCAAGCTCAATCTGAATTAAACTCAAACCTTTTGGACAATTAAGATAAGGAAGATAATAATAGAGCATCTTACATTTTTCTTATGTGAATCTTTCAACAAATGCATAACATTCATCCTTGTCCATGCTTGTGAAATCAATGTTTTTCAACTGTTGATTAATACCATCGGTGTATTGTATGTGGTACTTAGCGAATATACATTGGAAGTACAAAATCGACAATGATGTATACAACCATGTTTGAACTTTAAAGAGATGAAATGGAGTAAGGGTTTTCAGTCGACAGAAAACGATAAAGTAAATTGTTCATCAATTTTTGTCTAATTAAAAACCTAAAGGACATAGTCAACCATCACATGTGGCTCAATTAAATGAGGTGTCAAAAATGTCACCAATTTACCCTTCCATTCTTCCAAAATGACCAAATAGACCTGATAAAAATGACCTTATGCCCCTATAAAACAACAAAAAACTTTAAAAACTGATTAGACCAATTTCGAAAACGTAAGACTTTAGTGTCATTTTCCCAAACTAATATATGTAAAGGAAAATGTCATTATAGTACAATGAACTTATATGTTTTGTCCGATTTAACTAATTATGCTTTTTTACGCAATATGTTATCTAACTTTTACTGTAAATGTCAATTAAGACATTTTTGGTAGTTTTTAACCATTCCTCCATTAACCAATTATTCTAAACTATACGAATGACCCTTATGGCTTACATTTCTTCCGTATTTGGTCCTTACAGGCTATGGTTTAAATTACACGACCAAAACTGCTACATTTCTAAAACTTTGGGGGATTAAAGTGTAAATTTCTTTCGTATATGAAAACACGAAAGGGTTCTACGGGGAGATGGAAACCACCAAACTATAGAACACCGATCAGACAATCTCCGAATGATAACCAACGAAAATGTGTTAGAGTTTTAGAAATATAGTAGTTTTGAAAGTTTATGTGTACGGATTGCCATCAAAGATTGTTGTTTCGTTACTGTTCATCGATCCATACATTGTTTGAGCCTAGGTCATAATAAATATTAATTCATTTGATCTATTTATTCTTTCGATTTACCACATAGACTTCTTTATTCATATATACTCAATTATGATCTCAACTTTCCTGATAAATTTACTCACATGTTTATCCTTGTACATTTCAGTGTTCGTTTCTCGATCAACATTATCTATGATTCATGTTTCTATTTTTTTTTCAATTTTGATTAACTAATTTCAAGATTTTTACCACTATTGTGATTTAATACTTAGTTCGTATTCACGATTACACATAAACAATTCCTTTTGTGTTCTATTTTACTACACTTTCAAAAATTTTCCGAGCAATGAAATGGTTGGAGAAATTAATGATGTTGATGAATGCTTGAAGAACACGATGAAAATGGTAATGAATTTGTCTGAATCGGTCTTTGGTCTGAAAAAGTTTGGAATTGAAAAATTATGTTGTTTATCGAAGAACTGATGAAGTTGGGATGTATAAAAGTCAATACAAGAGTCAATAATTGGTTTTGATGGGTCATGATAAAAAAGTCAAAATTGATGACTTTGAAAGTTAATCGAAGCAATACATTCTAGTCAACAATTCAAAGTGGTTGTTGTAAATTCGTAGTCCAAGAAGTTATGAAATTGATGTCCACATTGAAAATTAAAAGATGATTTGGTTTTTGATGGGTTAAATGATCAGTCAAACGAAACGGTCAAAATTGAAGTTCCATGGTGTGATTTGTGATTAGAACTTCCAGATGTCGATATGTGACAATGCATTATGTTGATTTCCAGTCCTATTCAAAGTCATATGGGTTAAACATGATTGTATGGTGTTCATATCACGCTTCAATGGTTTTTACTTGCAATTAAAGTTAAAATTTGGAACTACAAAAACTTTTCTAATTGATTATCGACATGCTTGTAGGATAAAGAAGACCGATACTTAGTTAGTTATAGAATGAATGATGAAGTGAACTAGAAGCATTATTTCCAAAAGTCAAAGATGATTCCATGAAGTCGAAGTTATATTGTTAACAAAAATATCAAAACTTATACTTCAAAGGGAGGTCCCTAGAGTTTTAGAAATATAACAGTTTTGGTCGTGTAATTTCAGCCATAGCTAATAAGTTACTGACCATGAAAGAAATTTGAATTATAAGGGTCATTCATGTAATATAGAATAACTGGTTAATGGATGAATGATTAAAAACTAACAACAATCACTTAATTGACATGTAAAGTAAAAGTTAGATGACCTATTACACAAGAAAAAAACATAATTTATCAAATCAGAAAAATCACCTAAGTTCATTATGTTAAGCTGACATTATAATATTAATGGTTTATTAAGGGGGGTCTTTGGATAAATAATTTTTAGCTTATTAACTTATTGCTTATTTGCTTATTGCGGTGGGAATAAATATTTTTTTTTAAAATGTGTTTGGATTAGCTTATTGCAGTGGGAATAAACAATAAGCAATAAACATTTTAAGTGTTTGACAAACAAAATAGCTTATATGAGTAAAATGACCAATAAACAATAAACATTTTCCATTGCTTATCAACTTATTTGGATTATTTCTACTACAATAAACTGATTTTTAAAAATTTCTATCAAAACATTAAATTTTACTTATTGCAGTGAGATTAAACAATAAACGACCTACTTTTTCCTTATCCAAATACATTTAATATTTGAAAATTTGAATGTTTTATTATGTCACCCTCTTGTGGTTATTTTTGTGATTGAGCTATGCTACAATACCGCTTTATAAAATTAAATCACCCTTTAAACCCTTCAAAGCCCTAAAACACACAACCTAACAACTTTCACATCCCCGGCGAAATGCCAGGCCTTCTTACAGGTTCCGGCGATTCTTCCTCCCTCGTTCCCTTTTCCCCGGAGCTCAACACTCCTGCAGTCTACCCTCTACACCACGGCCTTAAACACCCAATCACTCCTCGCCTCTCAATTTCATGGTCAAGTGGTAACTCGCTACGCGTGTCGGTTTTCCGGTCACCTGAGACTACCAACACCATCGATGATGAAGTTGAAGTTGGCGGGAAAGTAGTTGAGTTGAAGCTAAGTGGAGAAGATGTCCACAGTGAAGTCAATGATGCTGTGCGGTGGCGTAGAATAGTCTATGGATCAGTGTCTCCATTTGCGCATCTTCAGAATAAGAAAAACGCCATGGCAGCATTGTCGGAGTTGCGGCATTCAGCTCCTTCCCAAGTGGAATGGTAATCATACATCATATGATAACTTTAGTGTATATATTGCTGCCAATAACCCTGCACATTTGATAAAACTATGGAGAGGTTCGAAAATTGATAAGGGCATTCGCTTTTATGATCTTAGCTCGATTAATAAGAACAATGTCTTGTGAGTATCTATGCAGGAAGGTTTGATAACTTAGTAATTCTAGAATCAGAACAAGGGGAGTGAAATCCCCAATTTTGAAAATTTCTTGTTTTTCTTCTCAATTGAGAACTCGTACTTGATTTTACAACATTAATATTGAGGAAATCAGGTCAAAATCTTGAGGACATTCGAATTTACTTTCTGATTGTTAATCTACTCCATCCTGGAAGTCATTTCTTATAGATTGTTGTCTGACTTCATGTAATCAGGTCAAAATATGTTCTTGAGTACAGCAAGGAAATAAATTCCCTTTTAGGAAACAGGAAGTCCAGCCCTAGCTCGTTAATTGAAGATCCAAAGACAGTATTAAAGGTACTTGTTTTCTTGAATTGTTTCTTTTTATCAAATTGTCAATCTTTATGTTCTCTTTTTAAAATCTTCACAATAGATTGATGAGGAGCCAAGCTCACTGAAAGCTGCATGGGAGCTTCTTGAAATATTCTATGCCAACAAACAATCTCAGTCTTGGATCCCTGAACAGCTTGTTGATTGGTTAACTGTAAGTATACTTGTCTAAAGCCTAAACTTTTACAATGAATTTAATCATCTTTTTATTCATTATGAATATGACTATAATACTTCTCTGATTCTCTCAGGATTATGATAGTTTGTTCTCTGGACAAGTGCCAACTGTCCATTTGAGATTGGTGGAATTTCAAGCACAACTTATTACTCTACAGACAGTTGAAAATGTAGCTGCATATTGGCAAGCAATTTCTTCAGCACTTTCAGTTGGTTGGCTAGACATTGTAGTGAGTTTTTCATACTTATAAGTTAAACCACAAAAGGTTAATTAACATTTATACTAAATAATAAATAATAAATAATAATCATAAAAAGTTAAAAGCATGAATACTGTTTTAATTTTAGGTGAAGTTATTGCGTTTGCATGGATCTTATCAGCTTAATCAGCTAGGTTCTCGTGAGGTTTGTATTCAACTCAAGTAACATTGTTATTGTTAAGAGTTATATGTAGCTCAGTGTTGGGGCATTTACGTCATTTCTCATTAAACAGACAGAGAATGGACTTGTGGAAGCAGTTGCTGTTCTAATATCAAAAATGCCACGTATGCGTGTGGATTTACCAGATGGAAAGCTAGGGGAATGCTGTTACAACAAGTCTGATTTTATGAAGGTAAAACATTTTATGTTTAAAACAATGTTTTAACTTTTAAATAATCTTTTAATAAATATGGATATATATATATTTATATATCAGGCATGGGAAAAATGGAGAGCACAAATTACAAAATTGGATTGCAGTGCATATTGGCTTCAATGCAGCCATAATCAGACAAAGGAAAACCTAAAAAATTTGCTTCAAATCATGTTGGGAAACATAAATACTCTCACTAATGCCACCTGTCATTGGGTAGAGCTATATATTGCTCATTTCCTATATATCAGACCTTTTACTTCGGTTAGTAATATTTATTTTTAAATCATAATTTGGTTCAAAGATTAATGACATCATCACATTAATATGTTGTTTATATTCAGGGTTTAGAAAGTATGCATGTTTTAGCTCAAAAATGCATACAGCTAAAGCCTATATCAACTCCACATAAGCTCATGAGTCTTATAATTGGAATTCTTGGAGAAAATACAGAGGTAAAAAACTAAAAATATTTTGCTTCAACAAATTATTATTAATTTGATATCTGATTTGTTATTATTATTATTTTTAGGTCATATTGGCAGAATGCTCAAAATCATTTGGTCCCTGGTGAGCTAATCTTTGATATTTAATCACATAACTTTTAATATTTTCTAATAATATATATATTTTTTTTGATAATAGGATGATTGCACATGCTACAGAGCTACTGACAGCTGGCAATATTCAAGCAGAAATTCTTTTAAAAGAAGAAAGACATAATTTAGGGGGAATTAGCATAGAGGAATCACATAGACTTGTTTATGCTCAAGTGTTATCTTCTCATGCGCTGACGTGGCAAGTGAGTGTACAAATCTTTTTTCTATTAAAAACAACGCAACATTTCACTTTTTATAATTTTGTTTTGTTTTGTTTTGTTTTTTTTTTTTGCAGATTGCTCCAATATATTTAATATCTTGTATGAAACATGGAGTTGGATTGTTGGAAATTTTGTTATACAAACAACCTGTATATCATAGTCAAGTTCTCCTCAAGGTTGACTCGTTGACCTTCAAAGTGTATTGACTTTTTGACTTTTTGACTTAATGTTCAATTACTTTTCTACTGGAAACAGAATATTGAGATATGTCGTTTATATGATCTAGATAGTGTGAGTGCAAATGCTATGAAGGTAATTTTAATAAATCAAAGTTTTTTTATTTTTAATGTTTTATTGAATAATTGTTTATAACAGAATGACATATTAACAGATTGTTGGAATGCATCACTGGAAACATGGTAGAAAAGGTTCCGGAATCTTCTGGCTACAACAGGCTCGTGATGAAGTTCGCCTTAATAGAATTGCTCAGAAGTTGTTTGACTTTGTTGGAAAGTCAATCTCTGATGAAAGTTTTGAGGTATGTATGTATGTATGTTATCTATGTATGTATGTATGAATGTATGATTTGTATTAATACCTTATGTATATATACAGCAATGGGAAGGATTGATTGAATTGATGGGCACTGAATCAAGAACTGTAGGGGGTCTTGAATTTTTACACAAGTAAGTTATGGTTTGCTTTTTGTTGGTTTATAAGAAAGGGGATAGGGGTAAAATAGTCATTTTACTAACGGTGCGAGTAAGAGGGACCAAAATCGCAATAAAATGAAACCATGAGGATTATCTATGAAAGAAAAATTAAAAATGGACTGAACCTGCCATTTTCACCAAACCACAGGGACCATTTCTGTCATTTACTAAAAGTTTTTTCTGATATTAAAAAATTGGTGGTGTTTAGGTATAGGGACTTCAAGAAGTCTCTTCAGCAAGTGCAAGATGGTGTTGTTACTGATGCTGCTAGAAAAGCTGGTGAATCACTTATATCGGTATGTGATTATTTACTCTTTTGACATTAATTTTGAGTAAATTACAAATTTCGTCCCTGTTTTTTACTCAAGCTTGCAAGTTTGGTCTAATGTCGGAAATCTTCCAAAGATGTTAATTTTGCATTTCGTTGCGGATTTATTCCCTCTGATAATGACATGCAATCCTGAAAAAGGAAATAACTTTGGACAAAACTTGCAATTTTGAGGAAAGCGTAAGGAGCAAATCTGCAATGAAATGCAAACTTAAGGATGACATTGGGAAGATTTCAAACTAAAGCACAGGGACCAAATTTGTAATTTACTTTATATTTGTTTTAATCCTTTGACAATGATGTTTCTTTTGGGAGTAAATTACATTTTTGGTCCCTGAGTATAAATTATTTTTTCAGTTTTTGTAATGTTCATGGTGACTATATATTTGGGAGCAAACTTGTAAAAATTAGCTATACTCAGGGACCACAAATAGTTATTTTACGTGAAACATAGACTGAAAACATTATAAGAACCCTAAATAAGGATTAAACTTGTAAAAGAAAACTTTTTGGGATCAAAATTGCAAAATATCAACTATACTCAGGGACCAAAAATGTAATTAATTCTTACTATTTTGTGACACAGATAATGAAAAACCCTTCTACCCCACAACGCTTTTGGCTTCCCCTTTTGTATGATTCGGTGAGAGCAAATTATGACATTTTTTTTTTCCGACTAAAACGACAACACTTTTTCCATGTGTAAAGTTTTAATATTATTTATTTATTTATTTATTTACAGTTGAAGTTGCTGACGTGGCAAGAGGGTCCTCTGTTAAATGTATCTCAATGTAACTTGCTATTGAATAAATTGCAAGAGTCATCAGTGGCAAAGCTGCGCCCTGATTTTGTGGAGGTGGGGCTGCCACCACACGCCCTCAGCTCTGTTAGGGCGGCTCTCGCCACTAATTTAGGGCGTGCTATTCTCGAAGAATGATCTGTTTCAAGGTTTTCAATTGTATTTTTTTTTTTTTTTTTTTTTCCATAAAAGATCTAGTGATATGTAATAGATAATGAATCATGAATATTATAACGCATTAATACCCCATTTTCTATATAAAAGTGCACCCAAGTTATATCAAAACATTGCCAAAAGTATAAGTACATCTATATGTATGGATAGTAGTATCTTATTTATCATTTGTAGAAAGTAAACAACAAATTAATTAACGAATGCTATTTTATCATCTTTTATGTTGTCAATTTCGTCTATAATTGTTTTGCAAGATTTTCTAACCCAATCTTAAGTGCCAACCAACGTCTCGATTATCGTTGTTCACAAATTTGTTCGATAAAGTTGAGTCGGGTGTCATAGTAGATATTTGTATCCCTAAATATATTTCAAAAATCGATAAAAACATTACAAATTGAAAGATTATTAAGAAACAAAAAACATCTCCAACTTGTTTTCAACATCCCTAAGCATACAAGTCGCCTTATTTGCATCTGTTATGGTGTACCTTATCATAATCTTAAAGCCATGTTGAATTAACATAGACTTCATTTGGGTATCGAACAATACAAAAAAGTACATGTAACGTTTAGTTTGTTGAATGATCCCCATTACTTATCCTATTTCAACCTCATGTCGTTACTATTAATTAAGCAAAATTGTGGGCTAAAGGTTTTGAACTTGCCAAATAATTTTGTCTTAAAATTTTTAATAAATCCCACCACACCATCTATTTCCAGCTCATATGCATATTCTTTATTTAGATACAAGGGACCAATATATATAAGTTTTATGTAGAAAGTGTTACCAAAACTGTCAAAGGTTAATATTTATGCAAAAACTGTTGCTAAGAATGTTGCAAAAGCTGTCAAAGGATAATAATTATATAGAAACTGTTGTAAAAAGTGCTGCAAAAGCTGCCAAAGGTTAACATTTATAGAGAAACGGTTGCTAAAATTGTTGTAAAGCTAAAAAAAGTTTATTTAAAAAGGAAAAAAAAACCATCGTCAAAAATATTTAGGGACTATTTAGAGTAAAACCTAAAACTACAATGTCATTTCCCTTTTTAGTGCATATGTATTATGTAACATAATTTTATTTTACCGTTTAGATGATTGTTTTGTGATTTTTTTTTTCTCAAATCTTCAAATCGGTTTATTAACGCACATTTGGTGGTGTTTTGATTGAAAAGTAGTATCTAGAAAAATCTTTTTATTGATAAAAATTGTAGACAAATTTTTTTGATGTTATAATCTTCATAGTTTAAAAGTTTTCATTAAACTCTAAATACTGAAAAAACGCAGAAAAAAAAAAATGCAAAGTTTGATATGTTTTAAAATAATAAACAAGTGTAAAGAATTAGATAAACTGAAAAAAAATATAATCATTCTGTTGTGAATGATCAATTCTTAATTACCTTCCTCATATTTTAATTGTTCCTATTAAAGTATAGAGTTTTCTGTAGTTTTTGGAAATCTAATAGTTTAGTATGTATAAGTCTAAGAGTTTTCTATAGTTTTTGGAAATCTAATATGTTAGTATATGAGTTTCTTTTATACTTATTTGGAATCTAATAGTTTACTCTATGGTTTTCTACTGTTTTTTGTATCTATATATATTGACACGTTATTAGTTACAATTTGCCTGCCTTATTACTACCACTCTTCTTCCATTAAGTTGATAGTTAAAACGCTTTCGCTTTGATGCCAGATAACCCTAATCCATGGCGCAACTTGGAGATGACGAGCTAATCTCCATTTTCAAAAGAATTAACAACCCAGATGACCAAAGATCCTTCTCTCGAGTATCCAAACAATTCTTGAAACTTGCATGCAGTCGCTTAACGAATTTAAACATTGCATTTCCTGATTTACTCTATGATATCCTACCCGAATCCCCAAATCTTGTCACCTTTGAATGTCATAAACCACTTTCAAACACCCACATGAAACTCCTCGCGTTTTCATGCCCCAAGCTCCAGTACATGAACCTCAGTTTAGAAAAAAACACCGATTCTCAAGCGGATTCCATGATAGAGGTTGATTTTGATAACAATGGTTTGTGTGAAGTTACAAATGCTTGTAGGAATTTGTATTACGTGTCTTTAAGTCGGAGGTTACATGTAGGAGATGTAGAAGTTACTTCTCTTGTAAGATCATCTAAGAATTTAGCAGTTTTGGATTTGAGTGGATGTGTTAGTGTCACAGATGAATCACTCAAAGCTATTGCCGAAACAACAAGTTGGTTAAGTGTTTTGAATTTACAAGGTTGTTACTTGATTACCGATTTGGGTTTGAAGTATCTTTCAAATGGGCATGTGAGGCATTTCTTGGAGGAGCTTGTTTTGGCTGAATGTGATAGGATTAGCGATGATGGGATTTCATACTTGAAGCAAATTCGTTGTTTAACTGATCTTAATCTATCAAAGTGTGGGGTTAACATTACAGACGTTGGGATTGGTAGCTTGTTGCAACTCCCAAAGATTGAAAGATTGGATCTCTCTTGGTTGATAAACGTAACTGATATTTCATTGTTTGTTATTCGTGAACACTATTGGAAACTGAGGGCGATTTCTTTGACGGGTTGTGAGGCTGTTACAAGTGAAGGTTTGCTTGCTTTTGAAAATCATGCAACATTGGAAGAGCTTGAGTTCTTTTCATGTCACAATTTTTCGTGGGAAGATGTGGTGATACTTGCATCATCTTGTCAAAGGTTGAAGTACCTTGGGCTGTCTCGGAGAATGGTGACGCCCATACCAGAGGCAGTTGATAATGATTTCTATGTGATCAACAACTGCTGGATAGATTGGGAATGATGAAAGATGATATTGCTTTTTCTATGTTTTAGCAGAAATAATGGAGTATGGATGAATATGGAATAAAGCTAGTTTTAGGGGAGTTAGTACTAGTTATATCTTAATGGTGTTGATGACATTGGAATTTGCGTTTATCCTATTTAAGATATATATATTTTTTCTATGTTACTTTTTGTCCATCTAATCTACTTATTACATTCATAAAAGTTTCATATATAATCATTTTAGTGGATGTAAATCCTTTTTTTTCTATGTTTTATTTTTTTGCTTCTCAATTTAACATGATTATTTGGTTTGTTATTATCTTAATATACTTAATGAACAAAACCCTAAATCTATATCCTAATGGTGCACAGTGTGTTCCCGTATCTGCCGCCTCCCGCCACCCCGCTCCGGTCTTTTTCCTACTTCTATGTTCACAAGAATCGGGACAAACATGTGGCTGTGGAACCTTTTGTGTGATATCAAGTGGCTGGGACCAACAACCTTGTTTTTTTTTTTACGGACGTAGTGTAAAATTTTATGAAATTTTTCGTTTTTGTATTATTGTGTCACTACGTAAAAAAATGTGTCACCTGCAACATCTACGATAAAATCCTGTGTCTGACCCTGCACATCGGCCACCCACCTCCCATCCCACTCCCACTTTGTGTCTCCTGATATTAAGACTTCGTTAGAAATTGGGAACAACAAATAATCATCCCAAATATTGTTTTGGTTAGAAATAGATTACATAATTTAAAAAATAAAACTCGTTGAAAGAACTAGTTACATAAATAATCTAAAAATTAATTCCAAATACATTTACATCGGAAAAATAACTACTTATATGAGCAAATATCACATAATTGATGAAAGACTAAGAAACCCGAAAAGAATTCAAATTTAAGTATATTTTAAAGGGTTCAAGTGTGTGTTAGCAATATTGGGCCTTGTCGGAAAGATGCCTATCAGCCAAAGGCTAAAGGGTTCAAGTGTGTGTTAGCCGTTCTAAAAAAATGTAAGTATATTTTAGGGATAATCACAAAACAACCATATAAACTGGAATATTCTCTTAAAATCATCACTTTTTCATTCATTTGGAAAAAAATGACCAAAATATTTGAAACAAGACATTTTAGACATAAACTTTGGATTTTAGAGTCTTGACTTTGGATTTCGGACAAATTTTTAAATAAAAACCATTCAAGGCAACCAATCTTCACAAATTATGATGAACAACGATGATGCACTCTCATTCAAGTGGCTCAAGCTTTAACACTTACGTATGCACACCTAGAAATCAACCCTTTACTAGATGAAACTAAGGTATTGAAGTTTTTTGTCTTTTTTTTTTTTCACTTATTTTCTAGATAAGGATGAAGATTGTATGTGTTAAACAACTATATGTGGTAAACAACTCATATAAGGAAATTTATTGAACTACATAAGAAATTTCAGCATCTAAACGTATCCATTATGCAAAAAACCAATTTAAGCAAACAATAGTAATCTAGTGATTTGATTAGGGTTTTATCTTTTTGTATGTGGTTTTCATCTGTTTTAATGTTTTGGTTATTTTGATGTCAGTTTAAAACTAATCACCTTAGGGGAATCAAACTACGACAGATTTGATGATTGTTTAAGCGAACACATATGTCATATCCATCGTTCCGAACCAAACTTTGTCATATTTGTTGATTGTTCTTGTAAACTGCAAACATGTGTAATCCTCATGTGGTTAAATTTTTGATTAACCCTATTTTTCGTTTATAAAATATAAATACTATAAATATTAAACATAAAACAGTTTTTTGTTTAATGTTTGTTCTATATTCTTTTGACATCCATGACTTGCTAATAAAGACAGTCTAAAAAAGGCTTTAAAACTTTTAGGGGGTGAAAATGTAAAATTGAAATTTTTACAACTTGAGCAGAACCCAAAAATGTCGATATGTTCCATCTTCGGGGCTACTCCAGCTTTCAAAGTTCAAACCTCCATAATCTTCCACTCTGAAAATCTGTCATAATCTAATTTAAGCACCGATGAGTTCATCAGGTAGAGCTTTTGGTGCAATTTTCTACAGACTCTCAACTGCGGCTCCCTTGAGGTTCCCCAATTCCTTCCCTATTCAAGGTTAAACCCTTCTCCCTTATCGCATTTCCAACGATGCTTAAAGATTCCATTCATTCGATTTTTTTCAAAATTCAACTGGGGTTTCCCTCGAAATGGCTACTTTCTTT